AAATCATCCCTTTTTTTTTGGTCCCCTAATTGCCTAAAACCATAGGTTTCTTGCTGCCAACATGAAAATCCATCTTTGGAAAGGAGGGAAAATATTTTTATAGTGAGTATACTAGCTGAGAGAAAGGAAAGATTTAACTTGTGTCCTCTTATTTATTTTTTTTTTATATCAGCTATTTTAAAAAATGGTTAAATTGTTTTAAAATAATGCAACAAAAGAGTCATAGAGTTGTTTTATCTATATGGTCCAAACTGTGGAATAAAATCAGCAGCCAAGGGAAGACAGAAGGAAAAGTGGGGTTTTGCTCTCTAATCATGTTACTCTCACTACTGAGCACTTCTACATATACTAAGAATTAAAATTAAAGGTTTCTGGGAGATTACRTGAGTCATTGCAGCACCTCAGAGCTGCTATCCAAATAAGGTGTTACCAGAAAGTCATATACATTATATTATATAGCTTTAATTGTAGGTACCTTTATAAACTGAAGTGTAGTGGATATCAGAAAAAATAAAATTTTAGTCCTCTTCACATTCCAGCATATGGGAAATTCTCCCATATAATTTTATTTTAGAGGCCTCTATGACTTTTTGTTTCTTTCTGGTGTGTAGGAGCTAGTGGAACTAATACCACTTTCCATAAACAAGAGCTAAGAGATAAGATTCCTGAAAACCCTGGTGCTCATACAGCATGACTGCTTCTAAAAAACCAAGCCCTTACATTTTTCTTGGAGGAGACTGCATAGTGATGTTTGAGATTATAATACATTCTGAACTTCCTTTAAATTGTTCCTGCTACCCAGGTCAAAAAAGTCTTTCTCTGTATTTTTGTCTTCATTCTCTTGTGCTATCTGTGTAATTTCTTTGTRAAATAAATAAAAGTCAAGGTAGTCTTTATAGAATAAGTAATTAAAGTGAAAATTCCTGAGAACTCTTTTAACAAAAACATCCTGAGAAAGCTACTACCAAGAGGAATGACTGTACTGACTTGAATGTTCACATCTTTCCCACTATCTTTTAGGTTAAAATGTGTCTTGATCTATGAAGATCAGTTTCAATTTACAATAATGTACCAGAAAAATCAGAATTTGTCTCTCTGTCATTGCAAATAAGGTTGGGTTTGCAGCAAATTTCYCTGTTTTCTTTTTGCAGCAGTGGTGCTCTGTGACAAGTGTGTCTCTGGAGACGAYGCACACATGTGGGATGCTGCCAAAATGGCTCTAAAGACTTCATCTTCCTTCAGAGGTCAGTCCTTCCTGTCCAAAATCATCAAATCACTCTCTGGCTACCTCTTCTCTTCTCTTCTGTTTGGAATTTGCATGTATTCATATGGACAGTGAAATATGTGCCAAAGGTTCCTGTCAAATCAGTGTGAAGATACCCATGAGGGTAGACAGAGGAAGGAGATAATTAAAATATTAGGATTAAATAGAGGAATTTTTTTTGTTGGTGGCGGTGATTTTTTTTTTTTCTCTCTCTCTCCATTTTGGCAATTTCAAGCTTATACCATGAACTATGTGTAGCTCCTGTGGTATGATTATCTGTTTGCATGCCCATTTTGTACTGCTATTCTTCCTTCAGGTAACTCATTAGCAATATGTTTTAATTCCTCTGTTGCTCATGGATGACTTGGTACCATCATCCAGCATTGACCCAGGATCCTGTGATGTCTTTTAGAAATGACCATGACTAGACTGTATTTTTTTCAACAGTAAATTGGTAAAACAAACAACCAATAGAGATTTTATAGATTGCAATACTTTTTTTTTTTTTTTTTTTTTGGTTAAGAGAAAAAAAAAACTGTTTTTTTTTTTGGCTCACAAACATTCTCCTTTTTGTTTTCCTTTCTGGTCTGTCAGCAAAGTAAGAGAATTGCTATTTGCCTGGCTTTACTCCTGAGATAAGGGATGATTTTATTCCTTCTTTTTATTCTTCTTCACCGATTCGTTGTCTTTGGTTGCGAGTGCTAACACACCACCCATCACCTAGCACGTCTGTGCTGTAGATATTGCCCATTGTAAATTGGGTGATACCATCAAACTAACAGCCCAGACATTAGTAAGAATTTATCAGGCCTAATCGCGTGCTCATTTATGTGGACGTATCTCCTCTTTTCAGCATTTACCTGAGGCAAATGGCTCCATCCGTCTAGTCAATACCGTTATCCCTTCTAAGGAAATACAGGTTTAAAAAAGAATCTCTGTGTTTAATGCATATTTATTTTTTTTCCTTTTTTTAGTGATAATGAGCTGTAAATAATTAGTAGTGCTGAAGTCAGTAAAATGACAGTATAAGTTCAGTATAACTAAGCTCAGCATCAAGTTGCTCTATCTGTTATTTGATCTGTGCAACATTACAAAAACTTGCTTATTATACAAAGATCCGTCAAAGACACTATTTCAATTACTTGTCAAGTACTTCTTTTGTTTGACAAGTTATTCTGTTAAATCAAGTAGAGGATTAGGAAAATACATTATATGAAAAAGAATGTTAGTGAAGTGTGAAATCTGGCACTCAAAAATAGTATAGACATTTGTAGGGCACACTGAGAATATAGGATTAAACTTATGTTGGGTGTTTTTAACTTTTCAAAAAGATTTTTTTTTTTTGTTGATGCTTATTGCTGAGAATGAAAATAAAATTATCAGAAGTTACCTACTGGAAAGATCTTGTTGCCTATATTGCCACTTTCTGTTTTCGCAGGTTTTATATAAGAGACTGCTTAGCTGTTTTTTCCATAAAATCACTTGGGGACTATATCCCAGAGCTGGCAGTTTAAGGTGAAAAAAAATTATCAGTTCTAAACAAAGATCTTCTTCCATCTCCCAGTGGAGAGCTGAAGTACAGTGAGTGCTCATCACTTACRTACTAGATTTGAAATGGTTTCTTTGAAGGTCGATAGCACAGTTACATTACTTCTTCCATTGGGTGGCATTTTAGGATTTTTACTGCCTCCACAACCTCCGTTGTTATTTCTACTCTCATCGTGCAGAGATGAAACAGGGACTAGAATCTGCTCCTGTTGAAAGCACTAGAACAGCTCCGGCTGACTTGCAAAAGAAGTGGTGTCAGGATTCCACCCCGCTTCACAGGCAATTAAGAAGAAATACAGTGTTAATGCTGAAGGATAAACTGTTACAACAAAATTCATTAGTTACAGGCAATTTCATGTGCCAGTGATGTAAAAGGAGCACCACCAAGCCCAACATGCAGCTTGGCATGAGTGATGGTGTCTGTGGCCTGCTACAGCGTTGTACATCACTGCATGAATTTGATAAASGTGACTTTATGTTCCCTTCTGAAACATCTTGCACTGGCCCCTAACAGCTAATCTGCAAATATTTTGTGAAGCTGTTGCTGCTGTTGTCAGTAGTCAGCAGTGTAACAGATTGGAATTGAAATATTTTAAATTCTCTGTCTGAACATGTTATGAAATTATAAAAATACATTCCTTTAAAGACTTGTAGTTTGGGTCAAGTAAGAGGTAAATTTGRCTATTTCCCACCACAAAAGACTTTTCAGCTTCTTTATTCTGATTTGTGCTATTTCAGTCACTCCTGTTTCCATAAGTGGAAAAAAGTGCATTACATCTGACTGCTTTGAGAACAGAGGAAATTTGGAGGTCCTCTTAAGAATGCTAGGTGTTTTCTTCCCATTAGAAGTCACATTAATATAACCAAATGACAACACCTATAATTCTACCAAAATATCTCCAAGATTAAAATATATTATTGATCTTCATAAAGGAGACATATATCAAAACCTAGTGCCTGATACAAGGAGCAATTACATCTATATGTTCTAGAGAAAGAAATAAAGAATTCAAGGCCAATATACATCAGTAAAATAAAACCAGTAAGAAGGAAGTACAGATTAAAAACAAGTTATTTATATAAAAATAGTATTTTGAAACTGATTAACTGGATAATGGGAAGAGGCTACTGATCGTGTTAAGTTTGTTTAAAAAAAAGTGGCCTTGATCAAAATACCTTAGAAGATTCAYTGTTCTAAAATCAGTTCTTTCTTTTTGTTGAAGTATTTGCCATGAGAGGGTTATGAGTATGTTACTAAAAATGGCATTTCTTAGCAATAGTGAAGCTCAGTAGGAAAGGAAAGATATGCATTGGAGTGCTTAATTCCCAAGTATCCACACCCAAATGATTAATGCYGATACACTCTGGGAATTAAAATACCGTGTAAGAAATGAGCATTCTCTAGATGCTGAAATTTCCATAATTGTGTAAATTGCCCTGAATTGAAGTGAGTACAATTTACACAGGAAATTAGAGTCTTGCAGTTAAAAAGCAGAAAAAGAAAAGCAGCTAAAAGAATATAAAACACACTTCCCATACATTTCCTTTCCAGGTGCGTACACATAATTCCTGTCCATTTCCCTGTAATATGAATGATTCACTTTTAATRTATTGTGCTAGACCTGTGTGAACATATTAATTTACCACAGATGCATACTTTCTTGCCATYTTACCATGCTCGACTGTCCGTAATCTATATTTGAGTCCGATTCAGTGATTTCTGTATCTGCATCTGCTGTGAAGCCTGTAGGCTGTCACTCTGTTTAATAAATAAATCTATCTGGTTTTGGTAGACTGGTTCAAATTCTTTAGAATCAGTCTGTGCATATCTATGGAGAAAAAGAAAGTGGAAGAAGAAAGTCTTACATAAAACTTAAGGAAATCATTAGCAGGATAGCGTATCACAACATCTTAGTGATTGGCCTAGTGATTCTATTTTAATGTATTATTTACTATACATATATATCAGCGTAATTCCTGTAAGTATGAAGTCTTATATAGAAAATGGAGATTWTTTTGATGCTTCTAAGAATATATGATTTCTTTCATATTGTATGTTCTCCCTTTTTTAAAAAGYTCCTTCAGTTGCTGGTGTGAATCGGTGCCATTTTTATCAAGTAAGTGAGCCAAGCCAATTCATTTTTATATAAAAGCCTGGAGAGGTGGTCTCAAGGAATTGCACYGTGGACAACAATGTCTTGGCTGCTGAACTGCTGCTGCAAGTATTCAGCTGTCGAGTAAATAAAAGGTGTGTGCAGAATCACAATTAACAAGCCAGCACCCCAAATCACTGTATACACAATAGAAAGCACAGTATAGAGAAAACTTTGGGGGGAAAAAAAAAGCAATTGCTATTTGTAGTGGTTGCAACATGTAATTTCATTAAAAGCCCTTTAAACGGCAGTACTGTTTTCTTATGGATTGCTCTGAACTGTAACATGTAATGTGTGAGGCCAGCAGAATTACCTGGAGCTGTATCAGTTATCTCAGTCGAGAATTTTCTCRCAATTCTGTCATGCAATCATAGCTTATCAGAAGCAGGTAATCTTTATTATGGGGTTTGCTGGATACCTGAAAAATATATACACTCGCATACTGAAATAGTACTTAATATATATAATCAAAAAATTCTTAATATTACTTCCTTGTTTGTTACATATACAGCACTTGTGTTTATACTGGGTGTTTCAGCAAGTTTCTTTCCCTTAGTTTCTTGGAGCCAGTTGTCCCTCCTTTCAGCTCAACATATACTTCTGTCAAGACTATAAATAAGTCAGATTTTGGAAAGGAATTGGTGTCTAATAATGCTGTTGAGATGGAGGAAGTAACTGAACCATTATCTTTATTATTTTTCTCTCCACTGTTTCATTAAGTAGTTGGTTGATATTAATGATATAAGATACTGTTTATATATATATATTAAAAATAGAGCAAGAAAACATATGAACAAATATTTTTTCTTTCAGAGGAAAGGAAGTAGTAACAGTGAACCTTAGTATGCACATAGACAGCCTTTTAGTCAAGACACCTCATGAATTATCATAGGAATTAGGCAGATAGGCTCTTTATCTGGTTTCTGCATAATCCTTTGAAGTCTTTACAAGCTTTGAAATTAGGCTAAAGGAAATTGAAGAAATAAATGTCATTTTATTTGTATGAGAGATTAACTACGCTAAATATAGGTATTGATTCACATCAAGATCTAGTCACAGTGGTTTTTCTACATGCCCAGTAAAGGTTTATATTTTTATCAAATCTCAAGATTTGAGTTTTATAATTCACAGTGCATTGCCGTGAGGTGTTTTTCAAGTTGTTTCATATCATCATGGTAGCTTTGGAAGGGTTTTTCTATTCCTGCTACCCCCCAAGAAAGTAAAAGGCTGCATATAAAGGCAGCCAAATATTATTTATACTTACCAGATACTAGGATTTGGTCCCAGAGAGGAAAACCGGATATGCTAACCAAGAATGAAATATGGATCTTAAATTTCATGGGAAGAAGAATTCAAAAGACCTCTGTCCAATCRGGAGAAAAAGGTTGATAGTGTTTCCATGCAAAGAAATATTTCCATTTGAAAATGAATCTAATCTTTTCTCCATTTCTAAGTGGAGTAGTTTCTCCTTCGGAGCCTTTGCCACAAGTCCACTCAGATTGARGTCCTAGAACAACTGCATAGACTTTAGCTTCTTTCAGGATGGCATTTTTTTAATATCACTGATCTCAGTTATTATCTTTTCCTATGGAGTGATAACTTATTTTTAACTAATCACATTAATCTATTTGGTACTTTAAAAGCAAATCATGCCAGTTTTATGCCATAGGAATGCAGCAAGCTTCAATGCTGCTTGCTAAGGAGGTTTTGCTTTAATTCCTTCTTTGGTAATTTTAATGTATTGTTTTATATGCAAATAGTTTTTAGTGAAGACTTTGATGTGGAAAGAGTTAAATAAAAAAACAACGAGTAACCTGATGCTTACTCCAAACCAGTTTGCTTATCCTCCAGGCAAGCTATTCATTTCAATAATGTGTCAGCTGTTGAACAAAAAAAATAAACCACAAAAAAAAGTAGCCAAGATAAATATAATTCTGTTCTAGAAACACGTCTTTTCTACTGAATTACGTTTATTAAAACAGATTATCAAAGCTTTATAATTAACTTTCCTGCAAATAAAAATTAGCATATATTATATGAGGAGTGTGCATTAATCAAATATTATTTAGAAAGGCACCCACCTATGCATGCCCAGGAATTACAAAGTTAATGAAAGATGGCAGTACATGAAACTGTAACTAATTAAGCAAGACATGAAAAAATCTGTAGATGTTTGACTGAATATGCAACAATTTACTCATTATCATATTTACATGGTAAGTTTATTCACATACTTAAGTTTGGGAAACTTTTTATAAGCACTTTAAAGTTAACTATCCTGCATTCCGTTATATCYGCTATACATCCTTGGGCTTTTCAATTGCTCTCTTTTAAACAAATAAATCGAAATATATAAAGGGGATTGCCTCAGAAAGGAAGAGGGTAARCAGTGAAATCCTATATTCACCAAGCAGCACCTTGGTGGGCAGCTCCCTTAATGGTTCCTCGCCGCATGGCACAAATTAGATCACTCGGTTAATGAAACTAATGTTACAGCGCAGCCCAAGCCAGCAGATCGGGTGCAGGGGGATGCTGAGTACGTGTTCCTGCTGCTTATTTTCAGGCGCTGAACTGAGCTACCTTGGGAAGCTTCCGAGAGGATGAGGAACGAGATGACAGGAGGCGTGTGGAGCTCAGGTAGGCTGAACCAGCCAGCGGGTCCTTCCCAGGCACTGTGGGGAGAAGCTTAAATAAGTTCCCAACACTCAGGTTCAGTACTGAGCAGAAGAGCATCAATATGATGCTCTGACCATAACGCCCTCTTTGCACCTCTGCCTAGTCAAGCCATATGGAAAATTTTCTGTCAGAAACTCTTCTTTGGATGTGTGGAGTATTTTGTGAGAGGAGGGAGAAGGTTTAATATGCATTTTATTTTTGCCGTGATTAGTAAGAGTTGTATTCAGATCTAACTGTCATATGTTATCTACTTGGCAAAATGGTTCAGAGACATCASATGCACGTGCACACTTAGAATTAGGTGTAAGACATAGCTAAATATTCCCCTTTTTGAGGAACAAACATTAAGAAAGTAAACCTCCAAATCGTTTTCCATGCTTGGGGAAAACAAAACACAGAAACAGAAAGCAACATTTTTTTCAGAGCTTTATASAAGAGAAAAAGTGTAAGCTATCTGCAGTAACAAAAGCTAGGTTGGAAAGATCTTCAAAAAAAGTTAATTAATTATTTGTGCCCACACTGAAATACAAGAAGCAACTGAAATTTAACATTGCAACTCTCACAAATAACATTCTTTGCATTTAAACTGAATGGTATTCTTCAGTATAAAATATAAACTAGTGTTAGATTTTATCATTACCTTTTCAGTATGATACTTTAAGCAGACATCAAGAGAACCATGTGAAATTGTTGAGAAGATTTTTATTAAGAAAGGGTCAGTTCACTACGGCTTCATTGTATGAAATGCACACATACAAAAAAAGGAAAAAAAGGTATTGTTTTAGAGAAAATTATCTGTGATTGTAACAAATATATTCAGTGGAAGAGCAATTTAGGTGAGAAACTAGCACTGTTTCTATCCTTTATTTATTTCCATGATTTTTTAGATTATAACATGAAATGCTCTGCCCGTCTTTAATTAAACCTGTATACTGACTACTGTTTGCTTCCTTTCTTTATTAAATATTGTTGATGATAGAACGTATGTTGTTTGTTTCAAATGCTAGCTACTCAGGTGTATTTGAGTTTGCTTTGTGTAAACTTTGAGCTTAAAAAGGTTTTCCTTCAGCAAGATGTTAAAATATCTTAGAGAATTGAAAACTATCAGATGAAATATGTCTTTACTATTCATCAAGTAGAGATACAGTGAGATAGAGTGTCCGAGAAGGACTGATCATATTTGTTTCAACCATGGAACAAAGTAATTTTTTGGTATTGTCAGTGATAATTATTTTGATTTTCAGGTTAGGTTCTTATAGAAACAAAACTGAGAATTTGCCGTCCAGAGATCTATCCGTCTCCCTGTAAACTTTTAAAATCTTTGGAACACTTTCAAACTTATTAGACAATACAGACCTAAAGCCAATAGGTTTCTACTGGTTTAATGAATGTGTATTATCAGTTAATATGCATACACCCATATGTGGCTGTGTGAGCTCAGCCACAGTATAGAACATTTTTAGTGAAGTGCTTGTAGCGATGCTGTTGTGTGCTAGGGAGCCATTCAAAACTCCCTGGAGTATGGCAGGTTTTCTACTTTTTCTTTCCCTGAGCTTTGAGTCTGACCTTACAGAATATACAATATTTACTGCTTCTTTTGAAAATGATAATGTTCTTGCTGGAGAGTTAATAACAATGAGACAAGGAAGCAGCAAAAGAACTGTGACCTGCTCTCTTATTAGATGTTCTCCTTATCTGTAGTGCTGAGATATTTAAAGTAAGAGTCATGGTAGGAATATTGATGCTATAAAAGAAATGTTTGTTTTAATGCCATAGATACTTCACTCAAATGTTCTTTCCAAGGGATGGAATTATTTCCAAAATCCAACCATTAGAGAATAGGCTTCATTCTTCCACGTTATGGATTTGGATAGTTTTCCAAATGAAAGATTGTACTTTAAAGGAGTCTAGATTTTTTTTCCCCCTCATTTTATGATGAGACTGGTGGCAAAAGTGAGTTGAGAGGACTGTTAAGAAAGAAAGTCATCTTCCTATCCCTCTTGCTCTCATACACACACACACGCACACAGGTTGAATTTGAAAAATCTTCTATTAGATTATAACCGAGATTTTACTTTATTTTTCTTTTTAATCGGTAGAAAGAAGATAGAGGAAGGTGGCTGGAAGAGAGATTAGGCTGGTAATTAAAGTGTACTTTATTTGGGATAGATATAATTTGAAATCTGTGCTGTGCCATCTTTCTCTGCTTCAGGTGGTGGCCCAGCAGTGGATTACAAAGGCATACCCACAGCTGGAGTTCACATTTTTGATAAATTGGAGAGACTAACTCTAAAATACAGAGCACCTAAGCTTCACATTTCTGATCCTAGAGATATTAATAATATTATAAAATTAGAACATTTTGTCCAGGAAAGAGCCGTGAAGGTACAAGTGCTTTATTGATAAGCATTGTTACTGTAGTACAGGGGAGAAAGGCAGGACAGGTACTTGAAACTGAGCATGTCACAACCTGAGTGAATGAATAAGTTATTATTACTATTTTATATATTAGGAGCCGTAATGTGTTGATGCTCAGCTATAAAATCATACCCACGAACAAGCTCTTTACTTAAAAACCGTGTCCTTGGGGAAAAATTGCAACTCAATAAGCAGAGCAGTTCTGAGTTATATTTCAGTAATTGTCAATATTTCTTTAGCATTGGCTTTAATATCAGAACAACTTAGGAAGAGATCATGCATTTCTTATTCTTAAAATGCCTAATAACATGGTAAAAGAAATCTGAAACCCTAAAAGGAATATGAAGATCAGCAGTACAAGTGGTTCCCAAAGATGTATATGCCTGAAGTCTCTCATTCAGTTGAAAGTAGAGTTCTGAGAGTGAAGTGTGAAGGCCATGTTCATCCTTAAGTGCACTTTACCTGAATATCTTCTGCTATGTTTAAATTGCAAGAGACAACTTCCAAATGCTTTTATTTCCCTAGTTTCAAGCATTGTTTTTCTTCTCTGTGGATTGACACAGTGAAGTGTTTCACAAGAGAGGGCTAAGCACACAGCTAACTGGTATGACCTGCAGTTTCATTCTTTAAAGACTTAGGGGAAGTGTACAGTTTTCTAAGAAGTAACTGGAATTATAGTTAAGAAAGCCACCAGGCTCTAAAGAAAGAGCTAGAAAGAGCACTTCCCAATGGGAAGTGATATAAGAGTCAGTAGGTACCATATGGGTTACTCTAATAAATTAAAACATTAAAATAGCAATAACATAAAACAATAAAAACTAAATGAAACAATAAGCAATAATAAAAAACAAATTAACTTTTGTCAGATGTATGTCAGTTTTTTAGCTTTTTACTTTACTTTTTTAGCTTTTTACTTTTTTAAGCAGGACTTAAATGGTAGGTGGTATTATATTTAAAATACTCAGCCTCTGGAGGCACATGGTTGAGTGCAAATCTCAGCTCTTATATTTTTTACATGGAACAGATGATGAGAAGAAGAACATACTTATTTTGCCACTGCAGCTTACTCTGCCATGATGCTGCAAAATATCTACAACACATAATATATAATATTTTCATTTCTAAATATTACTGCTTTTATACCTCTGTTACAGTGAATGCAAGGCAAGGTATTGAAACAAGAAAGACTCACATCTAAATGAGAATATGGTCAGAAGGAAAGGTAAATCAGTACATGAATTGTGATTTCCACAAACTGTTAGATAAGAGGCAACCAAGCAAGTAGGTAAATAYAAGTAAACAAAAATAGAACAAAGGGAATTTATCGGTATGTGATATGAATTAAAAGCTATTTTTCTGAACTGTAAAAAAAAAAAACCTGTAAAAACAGTTTTTCAGTTTTTACACCTTCAATTGCTCACATCCACACTCAAAATGTAATAAATTATCTACTGTGTCCAAAAGAATACCTCCATACCTACATATTACTGTTCATTATTATATATGTTTACTAATTTTATTCTTCATGAATCAGAACATTATTTAACAACAGATTTTTGAAACTCAGAGAACTTTCTGTTCAATGGTAGCATGAGAAAGACTGAAAATTTTTAAAATAATTACATAAATGAAAGTGTTACTAAGTACATGGACTTAGCTATCTAAGCTATCTGCAGCACATGTATTGGACAGAAAACTACAGTGTCATGAGATTTAACATAATAAGTCGGGCTTCAGTATATGTGCTTTGGATATAATCTTTGCTGGTAAATACTATTCAATGAAATATTTACTTTAGTGGGAATTTAATGGCATATTGCTGGCTCGTGTTCAACTTGATGTCCAAAAGGAGCCACATTTATTCTAAAGCATCTCGTATGGAGAGTCATGTGTTCAGCTTCACAGTAAAGACTGTCTTGCAGCATGGACACAGGTGCAATAAAATTATGATTTCCAATATTGCTTTTCTTGTGTTAATAGTTCTGCTAGAGCAGGATTTTTCATACTGTCCCAGAGCTGCCCTTTCACTCTCCTCCATCTTTCAGCAGTAAGATTGGTCCTCATATTGTGTTTTGTGTTTGTCATGCTAAGTGATATTATCCTACTGAGAAATACATATATATATGTACACACACACACACACACACACATATATATATAAAAATCCTGATTCATCTGCCCCTGTCCTCCAAATGGGTATTTGAACACTTATGTTCTCACTGAAAGATACTGGCTTTTCTGAACTGCCAAGCATGGTTTCTTGTCCAGATTGTTTTGTCTTTATTGATAATTATATGTTATTTGGTTGCAGACTTGGGAGACGTACAGAAAAAAGATGGGAGATTGGCAAGTGGGCAAGGAAATTAAATATCTAGTTTTGATACAGTTATCTTACAAGTGAAGTTGTTAACAGATGTATAATTTAAATGCACAATAATATGCAGCATCTGCGTAGAAGAGAATCTTGCACTGAATAATTTCTTGGTATTTTGATTCATGATGCTTTATATTTTGACCTTTTTTGTCTGTATTGACTCTT